TTGTTAAACACCTGGGCTACATACAAGTGGGACAATAATAATACTACAACTCCCATCATTGTCCACCTCAGGAGTACAAAGTGGATGACTTGGTGTTAATCCATTTTCCCCATATTATAATACATAGTTTATCTAAGGGGCTCTTTGCTCAGTAGAAAGGACCGTATCGAGTGTTGTGGCAAGTTGGACTGCAAGTTTATGAGGTTTGGCATAGCATTCAACAGACTGATCCTCTAAAAATTTTGTATATGTAATGACTAAAATGCTTCATAGAAAGGGATCAGGAACAATTGGCACGATCTATAAATCCATTGATACCTCCTCCTGATGTTCCTCTAGATCCTAGTCCATCCACGAGAGAACTTTGATGATCTTCTATTATTCTGAGAGGAGGGGATGACGTGAGGTCCAAGTGTACAACTATGATGTTGTATACTAATATTAGCGTAGTGGGATTTTAGTAGCCGTTGAATTGGTTTCAATCTGAACCACTTGTTATTATATACTAATTGATATCCACATTTTCTATATTCTCTTTTTATATTCCATACACTCACATAGTGAATATAAAAAATAATCGAAATAAAATAAATTTAAAATAATGACTGAAAATATTTTTATTTAAATATATAAATGTATAGAATATGGTAGGAAATACAGAAATGTGCATATCAATTAGCCCAAAAACCCTAGCTTATACACAGGATGGAGTGGTCCAGATTAAAACTAATCCAACAGTTACCAAAATCCCATTATGCTAATATTAATATACCACATCATAGCTATACATTTAGACCTCACATCATCCCCTCCTCTTGGAATGATAGAAGATAATAAAGATTCATTTGTGGATGAGCTGGGATTTGGAGGAGCATTAGAAGATGGCATCAGTGGATTTGTAGTGGTGTCAATTGTTCTTCATTCTTTTGTATAAAGCGTTTCAACTATTGCACATGCATAATTTCCAAAGGATTGGCTTATTGGACATTATGCCAAACCTCATAAAGTTGTGATTCAACCTGTCATAACAACCAATACTAAGCAAGGAACCCCTTAGACAAACCACATACCGTAAGATTGGGAAAATAAATTAACACTAAGTCATCCAGTTTGTACTCCACAGGTGGATAATGATGGGAGTTGTAGCGCTGTTGTTGTCCCGCATGTTTAGCAAACTTTGTTTAGATAAGTGGAAAAATGTTCATCAAATACTAATCCTAAGACTTAACATCGGTAGTTTGTAGCAATCGCAAATGCAAACTCAATTTTGTTGGTAATATTGGATCATGACCATATAGGAGTTTATATAGTGAAGCACTAACAAAACTTTGCACCGTTTATATAGTGAAGCACCAACAAAACTTTGCACCCTATGACATATGCATACTGAAAAGATGGCATATAACCATCCCAATTTAAATGTTGAAAGTTCATATACTTCTCAATCATCCCTTTGAAGGTCCGAACAAGTCATTCCAACAAACCATTTGACTGTGGATGATAAACACTTATGAAAGTGTTGCATATCCCCACCTAAAATGTTAAAATACGAAATGTCTCAGCCATAATTGTAGGATTACTATTTGAAAGAATTAGCTTTAGACAAGATTGTTGAAACACCATTGAATTGAGGAGGAAGTATCTAATAATAATTGTAGACACACTAGCAAGATCACCAATTTCCACCTAGTGAGTCAAGTAATCAAAAGCAATAATGACATATTCATTATTAATAGTCAACCGTTTATCAAATCAAATGCTATTAACTCAAATAGATGGGAAAATGCAATTAACTCCAACCATTCTTTCGCAACACGAAGGGGAATATTATGAACTTGGCACCAAACACAACTATGCATATACTAAATAATATCATGTTATATCTCAAACTAATAAAAAGAATTGCATAGCTTTTCAGTTACATAACGATGTCTTATATACTCATATAGAATAGAACAATCATAGTAGGCATGGAAAAAATGTGAAATAAAGATTGATGGCACCACCAACCATAAATGATCATTAAAATTCATCTCCACAAAATAAAGAAGATCATCGTCAAGATGATATCAAAAATATAAATGCCAAAATGGCAAGTCATCATCAACTGATGTAGAATTCTCAAATCCGTTATGAAGTCTTTGGATCCACAGCCCAACCTTTTGATCCTCATAAACCTTGTCAAAAGAAGATAAATCTTGCTTTACACCTTGTGGACATTAAATATCAAGTACAACAACTACTAACAGCACGAAATCCTTGTTACAAAATCCATAAATGCTAAAATAATAAGCTTGTCAGAAACATGAGAAGAGAGCGAAGAAAGAAAAGAATTTCAAAAAAGGGCATCAATATTAACCATAGAACTCTTTATGCAATGAACAATATCAAAATTATATATCTGAAGTTTCAAAGCCTACCGAATAGTACGACCAACTAAATTCTTCAACTTTAATAATGAAGTAAGTGTAGAATAATCACCTTCTTGTAATGTTTGAGAACTATGTAGATATGCATGAAGTTCTTGAAACTTCAAACTATTACTAAACACTCATTTTCTATTGTGGAGTAGTTCACCTTTGCTAATTGTAATATATAGATGATATATACAATAAGATGGTGCTGACCAAGGACACTTGGGCTCTTTTGCATCAATATACCTCTAAGATCGATATCAGAAGCATCCATGTGCAAAATGAAAAGTCAAGTGTAGTCAAGATATGGCAAAATTAGAGGAGTTGTCAATATCTCTTTAAGATCTATAAATACCTGCTCACAATCTGCAAGTGAAATGAAAGATGATGTTGATAACTTCAGCAATACTCGCAATGGTGTACTGCAATCAGAAAGATGATCAACAAGACACTCAAAATATTGCACCTTACCTAGGAAGTGTTGCACATCATTCACACACTTTGAGTGGGGAATTTCAGAGTAGCCACAAGTTTGTCTGGATCAACTTGTAAACCCTCATAAGAAATATGGTACCCAAGATAAATCATGTCTTAAACATGCATTTTGACTATTTCAATTTTAAACCAACTTCTCATAGGTGATCCAACACTTTATGAATATCACAAACATGTTCCTCTCACATCCCCTTCGAGTGGATCAAAATATCATTGATGAAGTCTAAAACTTACTAAATATGAAATAATGCTAGATTGCAAATTTGGGTATGGGACAAACACTTTTGTGTTTAATACAATCTCTACATTCTGTAGATATGCCAAATTAGCAAATCTAGATACTTTCCATAAAACCAAATAGAACCAACATGTAAGCTATCATCTACCCATATTAAGGGACTAGTCTCAATACACAGGGGTTCTTGTCAAGCTAGTGCAAGATAGAACAAAAAAGAACTAAGAGCCAGACCGAATATGCTCAGTAAGAAACACATAAGAGTTTTTACATTATGTTCATTTGACTAAATATAAATGTTAAGCCTAGTTTGTTAACACTTGATCAAGAGGGGCTAAAAAAAATTCAGCAATACCAACCTCCTATCGTCGTGGCAATAAAGAAAGAATATTTAAAAGGATTTGCTGACAAATAACTTTTAATACCTGTAATCACATTCATGATAAGAAGTGTCAAAGTGTTTGGCATAATTATGCTACAATCAATCCATACTAAGGATGAGGTTAAAAGTTTAATTTAGCATTACTTGCAATGATTGTAACTCAAACTCAAAATTGCCCATATGCGCAACCAAGTTTGCTTTATCCCGTGCATATATATACGGTCATTGCTATAAAGAATGGAAACTGGCTCTACTGTATAATATAAATGTAAACAGCAACATGTGGCAATAAGTTAAACAATAGAAGATAAACTTAAGCTTGTATCAACCAATACGGAGAGAAGAATAAAAGACTTCTTATTATAAAAATGAGTTTGGAAAGTAAACATTGGATGAACTAATACTGAGTGAACCACTTGATAATACTCTTAAAAGAAAGATGAAAGGGTTACTAACTTATTTGCACAAGGTCCCTCCATTTTTTGTATGACCCCTTGTTTCCCAAAAGTATTTCAGTGTTTAGACTTTTCACTGCAATAGCACTAACAGGACACTATTGACGCTAAAGTCTCCACCTAGGAAATAGAGGTTACTAATATGGAAAACACTGACAACATTGATAAATGTGACCAACCTCATCACACATCTAGTAACGGACATCACGGCCATAACCACATCCTCACTCGTGTTTTTGAACTCGGGCAGTAGTAGCATCAACCTCCATTGGACCAAAATTATCTCCCACAAAAAGTGGAGCTAAAAGATGTGCAATGAGAAGTGGAAAATACAATGTATTATAATGTTGTGCTAAACGAAGAGCATTATTAAGGGTTATTAGAGCAAGTGCATGTATAAGTCTTATAAGATCTTGACAAAGTCACAACATTCTCAACTTGATCCTTTTTGACATATTTTGTTTTTTATAGATTTAATTTAATTTCTAAGTTTAAAAATAATATAAACACTACCAATTTATTATGTATAAAAACACCAGTGCAGTTATTAGTTTTGGTAACTAAAACTATTGTAAACAAGATAAAATTTATTAATTGTCTTGTAAAAATCCTGAATACTATTTACTTTATATGTACACTTTGAATTTTTCCCTTCTTAATTAAAATTTTGGCATAATTACTTAAATAAACAGAAAATATTGTCAAATTGTTTAGATATGTGAAATAATGTATGGACAAATTGTTTACATGTGAAATAATATATCCTCACCTGTAAATTAGGACATATGGATGAAACTTTTGAGAATTTCAAATATACTGCATTTGTGTGCACTATCAGTCAATTATCATTAACAGAATTTTCATATCTTTATGGTCTGGATCCTAACTTTGCATCTTTATGGTGTGGTTTCCAAAAAGTGTTTCTCAAGCTTCACCTCCCAGCAGGAAATTATACGCTGCCATCCAAGAGGTTAGGCTTTTTACAAAGCTTTTGAATTTCCCGTGCTAAGAGGTTTAGGGTTTATAGGTACTTAAAGCATCTTCAAGTATATACTAAACTTTTCCCGCGCTAGCTGAGTCATCGTCTTCCTCCTCGCGCAGGCTCTTGTAGCGATACCAGTGCGCCAGCGGCAAATAGATGAGGATGTCGATCGCGCTGAGAACCGCTAGCAGCCAGAAGAAGTAATCCATGTGCCCCTGGTTGAGATTGTCTGCGATCCATCCGGGGTTGCCATTCCTCTGCGATATGCGCATCACGATCGTCACCAGCAGGCTGCTGAGGTAGCTCCCCAGCGCGTTGGTCGTGAGCGACAGGGCGGCGGCCAGGCTCTGCATCCCGTCCGGCGACTGCTGGTAGAAGAACTCGATCTGGCCGATGAAAGTGAACACCTCCGAGGCGCCGATGAGGAAGTACTGCGGGACTTGCCAGAAGATGCTCATCTGCCTCCTCGCCAGCACCGGATCGTCGCTCACGGCGTCGGGATCCATCAGCCCCCTGCTCCGAGCGATCTCCAGGCGCTTTATCTCCACCAGCGCAGCGATGATCATCGAGAAGGTGGAGATGATCAGACCGATTCCCATCCTCTGGAGCTGCGTGAACCCCTGTGGATGCTTGGTGTAGCGGCGGACGAGCGGCACCAGGAGGCGGTCGTAGAGAGGGACCCAAAGGATGACGCTCAAGGTGTCGAAGATGGAGAGCGAGGCCGGCGGGATCTTGAAGTTGCTCGAGCCGACGTAAGTGTTCATCACCCCGCCTTGCTCCACGAACAATGTTGACATCTGGGAGTAGACGGTTGCGAAGACGATGCTGGTAGCCCAGATTGGCAGCAGCCGGGCGAGCATCTTCACCTCCTCGACTCGAGTGACAGTGCTAAGAAGCCATGGTGACGGTGATACTTCGGCGCTCGCCCTGTCTTTCACAGCAGCTTTGTCCAGAAACCTTTGAGAAAAGTCAGTGTGAAAAAATAATAAATCGGAATACATGATAGTTCTTACCGAAAGTTGGGAGAGTGTGCTAGCTTCCTCGTCTCCGAGTCGTTGTCCTCGTGAAGCAAGGATTTGTCTTCAGGAACTTGGACTCTCCACTTCCGCCCGGCGGCAAGAAGCACTTGGGCGACTCGTGTGAGCGGACTCATCCCTGGAGGCTGGTGCCTGTACAGCCTGGTTCCCGAGAAAAAGGAGCATATCGCTATCGCCATGGCCACCGTCGGGATGCCAAAGCCCCATGCCCAGCTCACTTGGTCTTGGATGTAAACCAGAATGCTGCTCGACACGAGAGCGCCGATGTTGATGGAGAAGTAAAACCAGTTGAAAAACGATGTCATCTGTTTCTTCTCCGCCGGATTCTTGTCGTCAAACTGGTCCGCTCCAAACGACGAGACGCACGGCTTGATTCCACCCGTCCCGAGCGCTATGAGATATAGTGAGCTGTAGAAGACTGCGAGCTGGCCCAGAGTTGCCGATGAGCATGACTGTTCGTGACAAGTTGGTCGCAGAGACGGTAGTGACGCTGAAAGAGTGAGAAGTAGCATTCCCTTCCACAATCCGAAAGTCACTTCATAAGCTAGCTTGATAGCAATCTTACCAGGAAGTATAAGAAAGAGAAAGCAGCGATCGTCCAGTATCTTCCAATGTAAGAGTCCGCGATAAAGGCGCCAATGAGCGGCGTGATGTAGCAAGTTCCCGACCAGTTGTTGACATTGGTAGCAGCGGTTGCATTGTTCTGGTTGAGCTTCTTGGTCATGTACACCACCAGGTTAGTGCTGATGCCATAGTATGCCAGCCTCTCACAGCATTCATTGCCTGAAGAAACGTTAACACACAAACTTGAATCGCGAAGAGAGCTCACCAAGTATGAATGGACAAGCTTTCCAGCCGCCAGTCTTCCTTTTCTCCACACCCTTAAGGGATGAAAGGGAATCCTTTCTCTACAACACAAGATTTAGAAGCATTAGCCAGCGAAAGCAACGAGTACCTGGAGCGCCGGCGCCTCCGCGCTCTCGGGAGCTTCCATGAGAACAATAACACACTTTTTAGCAAAGCCTAGAAATCTTATTTTAATGGTTCTAAAACCAATTTCGGTGCACCTGCAAATAACTTTGAAAACCACGTAGCATAATTGCATCAAACACAAAACAAAAAAAAGTTTGCCAGTCGAACATTCGCGTCGCGTGATTGAACGAACTTGTTAACATTCGTTTTCTTTGACAGCAAAGCGGGGAAAATGCCGCAAAGCGATTTAGACATAAAGTATCCTAGCCGTATCCGCGATCACTGCTCACAAAACAGACTGTTAGTATTTATATGAACCGAGAAAGCTCACCGCACTTTGTTTGCTCCCCATTTACTTGTTCAAGAGCTTTCGTTCGTACGTTGTGTGGAATAACAGACAAGCTGCTCAACCGTGCGCCCCCTTCTGTGCACCACGACTTCTGTCTCCTGAACTTTCGCAAGGGGTTCACAGTCCAAAACCAACTCAGTCTCATGGTAAGGAAGGAGAGAATTGAGCGGCAGAAAGCGAAGCAGTCGTCTTCGGTATCAGGTGATTTTTTCTCGATAAAATCATCCTCTACCATGAGTTTGCTGATAGACTTCCCTTCGCGAGGTAGGAACTTGGTCTGGAAAAACACACATTATACACACAGAACGGATACGCTCCAGATAGTTCTCTTACCTCTACGGTTGACAGATCGACCCCTCTAGTGCTTAACTCATTGAGCAAACTGTTGAATTCTTCTTGCGTAGGAAGGTAGTGGCCGCTGTAACCCTCGATAGACTGATATAAACAGATGGTCATAGATAGATTTATGCATAGCAGAGCTTGAGTACCTTTAAAACTCCATCTGTGGCTCTCAGACGTCCGGCTGCTTTTACTGCTCCTCCGGCTAAAAAGCTCGAGTGCTGGAATTTTCCTCTTACCTTCTGTAAAGAAGAAAGACAAAAGTGCGACTTACAAGAGCTTGCTTAAGAAAACCTCTTACCCGTCCAACGTAAAGCTTCCCATTCGTATCCATTACGAAAATCCACTTGTCGCGCCCTTCGTCCGTATCAAGAGGTTTCCCACAGCTGGTGTATATCAATCTCCCGTCTTGAATCGTCACCTCGTACTCTTTCCTTTTTTTCTGTTGGTTTCATCAGTCTCAAGCGCCAAAGAATTGGAAAATTGCCACCATACATACTGGACTCAAGTAGCAAATTTGTTCTTTCATGAGAACTGTTCTAGGACACTCCTCAAGGTCCAGGTATCTCCCTTCCCCGGCATCTAGCCTGTACCGAAGCAACTTAGCATAAAAGCTTTGTCAACTACAAAAACAAACGGAGCACCAGGTAAAAAAACGCTCCTTCGTCCCACTTCTTTCCCAGGCGTTGAAGTAGAAACGCAGATTGTGTCCGTAACGGTGCTTCACATCAATCTGCGTAGAAACATCAGAAACTGACGATGGCGAGTGTGATCAATCCACAGCTGACTTACAGCTTCCAGCCAGTGTTGAAACGCAAGCTTCTTGGCCTTCTCGTCCTGGAAAAGTCCTCTTCCCACCTGCAGATCGCCCAGCTCTCTTGAAAAAATCGAAAACACTCGATGTTTGGATCGACCTTGGCGGCCTCTCTTCCAGCACGGATCCACCGGTGAGGAGGATCATCTTGCGCTGTCTTCTTCGATAGGACGACGCCATTCACAACGTTCCACCTAATTGATAAGATGTGAGAAAAGAGAGAATGGAAAAAAAAAGAAAGAGCTATACCATCCATAGTCTTTGGCTAGGCACGCGCAGTCCGCGAGCTGGCGCCTCGTTCTGTAGCCACGATACATCTTTTGCATCGCGGTGGCGGCATCGTCCTGAGGTTTCTCTGCCAAGACAGAGAGCACAAGCTAAAACTCGAAATTTCTCTTGCGGATGATCAATCGGTTAAGAAACACCGCACCGCAGCTCACAGCGGCGCTCTTTCGAACCGGAGCGCCTTCTAGCGCCGAGCAATCCATCCTAAAATTCGTCGATCTGCAAGGAAAATGCCGCTAAGCTTAGCGCAAGGGAGTCAAAGCAGCAAAGCAAGACCGATCGATGCTTCTCCACACCTGCGCGCGTGGCAGCGATCCAATCTCTCGAGCTTCCGCTCGCCCAAGCTCGCGCAACCCTAAACGAGACGCGCGCTCTCTCCTTTTTCCCCTTGGCCCTTCCGGACATCGCCGTACGACTAGATCTATCGCCTTTGCCAGGAAATTGCCTCGAAGCTCGTCCTCCTTCGTTCTCGTTTAAAGTATGAGTATTTTTTGTTGGCTCGTGCAAGACTTTGACCGGATCCCCTCGTTGACTAAAGCTTGACTTTCACTTTACACAGTCAAGCTTTTCTTTTACTTAGTCGCCAATCTTCTGTTACTTAGTCGCCAATCTTCTCTTACTTAGTCGCCTTATACTTGAAGCGATACGCGAATGGAAGATAGAAGAGAACGTTGACGACGCTGAGCGCTGCCAAGAGCCAAAAGAAGTAGTCAATGTGGCCATGATTGAGGTTGTCGGCGATCCATCCGGGCTTCCCATCCCTCCGGGTGATCTTGGTGACGATGGTCACCAGCAAGCTCGAGAGGTAGTTCCCCAGCGCCACCGTCGCCAGCGACAGCGCCGAGCCCAAGCTCCGCATGGCGTCGGGCGACTGCTCGTAGAAGAACTCGAGCTGCCCGATGAAGGTGAACACCTCCGACGCCCCGATGATGAAGTACTGGGGGATTTGCCAGAAGATGCTGAGCTGCGCGTTGAGGAGCTTCGGGAAGTTCTTGTCGTCGGCATCCACCAGGCCTTTCTCCCTCGCGACTCGCAGACGCTGGATCTCCAGGACCGCCGCCACCACCATGGAGAGCGTGGAGATGACGAGACCGATTCCCATTCTCTGGAGCTGCGTGAATCCCTGTGCGTGGCCGGTGTACCTGCGGACGAAGGGGACGAGCAGCCGGTCGTAGATCGGGACCCAGATCAACACGCTGAGCGTGTCAAACATGGAGAGCGATGCCGACGGGACCTTGAAGGTGCCGAGGATGTAGTCCATCTTGAGGCCTTGCACCACGAACAGCGTCGACATCTGAGCGTAGACTGTGGAGAAGACGATGGCGCTGGCCCAGATAGGAACGATTCGTAGCAGGATCTTCACTTCCTCGACTTGAGTGACCGTGCAAAGGTTCCACGTTGTCGTCGGTCTCGACCTGTCCTCGACCGCTGCCTTGTCCAGGAAACTTTCAAAACCAAAAGTCACAAGAACTTAGAACGAAGCGAAGCCCGAAAAAATATGTAAGGAGCACTTCTTCACCTGTATTCTGCCGTGTGCTGAATTTTCCGGCTCCCTTCGATGGCGGACGCCTTCTCGTCGACCTCGTAGAGCATGGTCTCGTCGGCTGGAAGACGTAGCCTCCAGTTCCGGATGGCTGCGACGATAACTTGAGCGATCCGAGTGAGTGGACTGCCTCCTGGTTTCTGGTGCCTGTACTTCTTGGACCCGGTGAAGAAGCTCACAATGGCTATTCCCATTGCTGCTGCCGGTATGCCAAATCCCCAGGCCCAGTTGACGCTTTGCTGGATGTAAACGAGAAAGGTGCTGGCGATCATGGCACCGACGTTGATCGAGAAGTAGAACCAGTTGAAGAAGACAGTCTTATACTTCTTCTCCGAGGGGTCTTCGTCGTCAAACTGGTCTGCTCCAAAGGATGAAACGCAAGGCTTGATTCCACCAGTGCCCAGCGCTACCAGATAGAGAGCCAGATAGAATGATCCGATCTGACCAGGCGAGGCCCCAGGACAAACGTCCCCCACACAAGATGGTGGTTTTAACGATGGAACTGACGCTGATAACGTGAGCAGAACCATTCCCTGTAAGAAAAACAAACTTTTAGCTGCGAAGCTATGAAAGTCGAGAAAGAAGAACTTACCACAAAGTATACAGAAGAGAAGGCAGCGATCGTCCAGTAGCGACCGAGGTAGGCATCGGCCAAGAAAGCTCCTATGAGAGGTGTGATGTAAGCAGTTCCAGACCAGTTCGTCACATTGGTCGATGCAGTCGCGTTGTGCTGATGGAGTTTGTCGGTCAGAAACACCACCAAGTTCATGGAAATTCCATAGTAGGCAAGCCTCTCACAGCATTCGTTTCCTGTTCAAGGCAAGATCAAGCAAGATATCATAAAGTTTCGTTTTTTTGTTGCTCACCCAAGATATAAGGACACGCTTTCCAGCCGCCGGTAGTTCTCCTATCAGCAGGATTGTGCTTCCAATCCACAGTGCCGTCCTTTGTGATGAAGCTCTCTTTCTCCAGATCTTCGCCATTTTCAAGATCCTTACAAAATCGAAAGCACCAGTGTGTAAGTCTTCCATTCTCCCGAGTTTCTTCCAAGAGAAATTCCTCACCTTGGTTGATGTGGGCAGGAGCCCAGCAGTGCTAGCGTCGGCGACGGTGCTCTCCTCCATGGCTCCCATCCCTTTCCACTCACACAGGAAGAATTTGGAACTTTCAAGGGAACTTTAGAACCAGAGTTCCCAGCCTCGATTCTGGTCTAAAGTTTCCTCGATCGCTCATCTGGCGAACCGGACGAGCCATTTGTCGCCGTATAGCGTGGAGATGCGTCTTTTAATCCTTTCCTGTGGCTCCAATAGTCCAAAAGTCCTCTCCCGGGACCAGACTCCGGAGTCTCGGTCACGACATTGGCGCCCTTCGATCGATCCAGAGTGGAATCGATACATTGGCGTACCTCACAGCCGGCTCGATCACGCAATGCGCACGGAATCCAACCCCCTCTCCTAAAGCCCTAGACTCGCCCGTACAGCGCGTACGGGCAATGAGGTTTTGGTAAAGTGTTTCGAACCTTCGATGCCGGGGAAATATCGCCATGTTGAGCGTAGTTGCTCCGCGCGATTGGGTCTTGCTGCCCTATTTTGGTTCCTCCAAGATTGACGCAGGGTTTGGTCGATCCGGGGCGCGATAATCTCTCTCAGGTATGGGGGCTTGCTCCTCTCGTCTTCTCGGCTGGGTAATCCCTACTGCTAGCTGCATTTGTCGAGAGAGCACGGAGGAAGATCTACTTCTTCTACTTCCACAGTGAGGATTCTAGAATCTAGATCTCTGGCGTAGTTCTTTGGGATCTGCGCAGTTGGAAATTTCCAGTCGCAATCCAAGATTTTTTAGATTTTCGCCGCATTCGTCTCGGAGTCTTCACTTATCCACTTCTTTCCTTTGCAGCTATTAGCGTGATTTATGGACGAGAGGCAAAGATTGGATATAGACAGCATCCAGTTGGATGATCCTAGCGACTGCTGCGACACGCCACCCGTCTCCCCCTCTGCCAAGGACCGGCGAAAGAAGAAGAAGAAGAAGAACAAGAGTTACTACAGCAATCCGGCCAGCATCCAAGCGTTTGATGAAGGCCGGCAGCAGAAGCTCGCCGAGGAGAAATCCCGGCAGCTCCACAAACCATCTACATTTGCAAGCTCCGAGCCGTGCGCAATCCCGCTGCGAACTTCCAAAGCTTTTGAGTATGAGGATGCTCACGCTTTGGATAGCTCGCCATCGTCGCCATATCCGCTCTCGAGCTCGTGTCCGGTACGATGTAGCTCTTTCGTGTTCTCTTGTTTGTGTTCTTAACTATGATGCTCGCTTTTCCTTTTTCCAGTTGTTTTCGCTGCGATCCGCATTGCGTGGAGGCCACGAAGGCCTGGGTTTGGGACCGAGGCCTAAGCTACACGTAAAGTGGGCCGTCGACGTTCGTGATCCGCCCAAGAGCAGCGTCTCCCACACACTCAATCGCCACAACAGCTCGAGAAAGAAACGATCCAAGTCCAAGACAAAAACCAAGTTCGTTTTTGTTTTGCTAGTTCTCTTCTCTCTTTTCTTTGCTGACAAAAGGTGCAATGCTTTGCAGGTCTGGAGGCTTAAAACCATTCAACAGTGGCTCAATGATGGAGGGCCAAGAAGTCGTCCCTTGCGCCCCTGATAGCCCTGTTTCAGAGGACGAAACGGTTGGCCTTACCGGCGGACTGTTTCCTCCCAGAAACCTTACTTTCACGCTTGAGGAGCTTCACTCAAACTCGGCATGGTCATCATCCAAAAGCTTCTTTGCCTCTATGGAGGTGGCCATGCAACACATGCTTCTGGCTTCTAGTTTCATCGAACAGGTACTCAGTTCTTTCGCGCTTCCACTCTTGTTACCAGCTTGCTACCGCAGGGAAATATTGCCGGTGCTTTGATCGAGTACAAGGCCGCAGCCAACGTCTTCAGGTAAATCGAAAGCTCTTATCACGCAAAAAAGTAGTGAATCTATCACACAGATTGGCCAAGCTCGACTCCGAGACTGAAGGCCGCAGCGAGTGTAGAACCGCGGCAGTCAGGGGCCAAGTTCTCGCCTGGATCGCCATGGCGACGCTCTACAGCGCGAGCGGTCAGAGCCTCAAGGGGCAAAAATGCCACAACTTGGCACTGGAGGCGTGCCAGGAGGTGGGAATGAGCTACAAGGATAGCATCCAGTGCGTTGAGAACTTCCCGGCCGCGCACCAATTCAAAGGAAATGGTGGAAGCAATCACTGCAGCCTCGCGGCGGCGCTATCGTCGGCCTCGAGCGCCTGTGAAGCGTCAAGAACAGAGAAGACGAGCGTTTGTATATAAGTTTTTTCCTCTAACGTAAGATGTCCTTACACGCAAAGCTCCTTACTATTTTTCCAAGATATTTAGGGCTTGGAGCTCGCGAAGCTATGGCGCCGGTCGATTCGTGCACGACGCCATTGCTCCAGGACGGCCAGACTACTGAAGCGCCGGTAAGTTCTTGGCTGGAATTTCTTTCTTGATCTGAGAGCGAGCGCTTGTTGTTGTGGAATCGTCAGCTCGAGGATCCCAAGCAGAGCTCCAGCTCGCGGCAGAACGTTTGCGAGGACGACGATGTCGATGGGACGTATTACACGGGCGATGGATCCGTGGATTCGTCCGGGCGCCGCTCGATCAGGGCCAAGACCGGCGGCTGGAAGGCCTGCCCTTTCATTCTAGGTGGAGATTGGCATACGTTGTGATCGCTTTCTCACTTTCTCGCAGGGAACGAATTTTGCGAGCGATTGGCGTACTATGGCATCAACACGAACCTGGTCGTGTATTTGACAACGGTGTTGCATCAAGGCAATGCCGCCGCTGCTAAATCCGTCACTGCTTGGTCTGGCACTTGCTACCTCACGACCTTCATTGGTGCGTTTCTCGCGGATTCGTATTGGGGACGCTACTGGACCATAGGAATTCTCTCCATTTTCTATGCAATCGTAAGCAACTGTTCTTTGTTCTTTTCCTGGCTTCGTCTCTAACTTGTTTTGGTTCTCGCAGGGGATGATTCTTCTCACTCTGTCAGCCTCCTTGCCCTCGCTGAAACCGTCCGTTTGTCCTCTCGACAACACCCCCTGCGAGAGTGCCACTCCGGGGCAAATGGCGTTCTTCTACACCGCCCTGTACCTCATCGCTTTCGGGACCGGTGGCATCAAGCCCTGTGTGTCCTCTTTCGGAGCTGACCAGTTCGACACTGGAGATCCCACCGAGAGAGCACACATGACGTCGTTTTTCAACTGGTTCTACTTCTCCATCAACGTTGGAGCTCTTATCGCCAGCAGCGTGATCGTGTACATACAGGTGAACGTCGGATGGGGAATCGGATTCGCAATACCTGCAGTCACGATGCTGGTGGCCATATGCACTTTCTTCTTCGGGACGCCGCTGTATAGGAACCAAAAGCCCGGTGGAAGCTCACTCACTCGTATCGCCCAAGTCATAGTTGCTGCCAGCGCGAAGTCCCGAGTACAAGTCCCGGCGGACGAGCGGCTTCTGTACGAGGTGCCGGACAAGGAATCGGCCATCCAGGGAAGCAGGAAGATCGAACACACTGACGAGCTCACGTAAGATCTTTGCTAGTTTTGTTCGCTGATTAGTTTCGCTTTGAATCCACCAGGTGTTTGGACAAAGCAGCGACACAAACAGCTCCTGAGTTAGAAAACCGACCAAGTCCTTGGCGCTTATGCACAGTCACTCAGGTCGAGGAAGTAAAGATCTTTGTCCGGATGCTACCAATATGGGCGAGCACGATTGTCTTCTTCACGGTCTACTCGCAGATGTCCACCTTCTTCGTGGAGCAGGGCCAGAGAATGGATCCCAAACTGGGTCCAAAGTTTAACATCCCGGCAGCATCGCTCACCGTCTTCGACACGCTCACCATCATCGTCTGCGTGCCACTCTACGACTGGTTCCTGGTGCCGCTGGTCCGAAAGTTCACGGGCCACCCGCAGGGATTCACCCAGATCCAGAGGATGGGAATCGGCCTCGTTCTCGCCACTGCTTCGATGCTGGTAGCGGCGGTGGTGGAAGTGAAGAGGCTCCAGCTCGCGGCCGAGTTTGATCTCCTGGACAACGTCACGGATCCGGTCCCGATGAGCATTCTCTGGCAGATACCGCAGTACTTCCTCATCGGTGCCTCGGAAATTTTCACGGCCATTGGGCAGCTCGAGTTCTTCTACGATCAGGCACCCGACGCGATGAGGAGCTTGGCGAGCGCGCTGGCGCTCAGCACGACGGCGCTGGGGAACTACTTGAGCAGCTTCTTGGTGGCGGTGATCTCCGCAACGAGTTCTTCCGGGAGTTCCGGGTGGATCCCAAACAATCTAAATCGCGGCCACCTGGATTACTTCTTTTTGGTGGTGGCGGCGCTCAGCGCTCTCAATGGGCTCTTCTTCTGGGCATGCTCGAGAGGCTATCGATACAAGAAAGTTACCGTGTAAATATTTTACATTGGACTAATGTAACTTCTCGAGAAGATTTAAATACTTCACTTTTAATTTCAACTCAATTCATGGTTTTCGCGCGCATTTTCTAGGGTTTATGGGCTATGGCGGGCGAGGAGGGGGAAATAAGAGAATCGTGGAAGCAGGCGCTGGATCGCAAGCTCGGGCGGCTGCATTCTTTGCTGTTTGGGGTGGAGGCCGCGATCAAGGCGGAGGAATGGGAGAAGGCGCTGGGTCTGGGGCTTTGTCTGCTGGGATTTCTCGAGAGCGAGACGAGGACGAGAGAGGATGCGGTGTACACTGCTCCAATAAAGAGGCATGTCCAGGATCTGATCGATGCGGCCAGGGACAAATTCTACCAAGGTTTTGAGAGGTAAGTCGATTTTGGCCATGAAATCTAGCTTACGTAGTGATTTGGTTGAAGAAATGCGCTCGCACAGACAGCTCGATCTAGCGGCGCGGTTTTTGGGGGAGGCCAGCACCGTGTAGACGTCGCAGGGATTAGAAGCTCTCCGCTTTACAGACCATTATGTGGTGACAGCATCGTGAGTGATCTTTGCAGAATTTTTTATTTTTCCTTTCTCTCGTGGTTTTGACAATCTGAACTTACAGGAACCAATGGATATTGATCGCATAGACGTCAGCCCGGGAGAGAGCAAGAAGCGCGGAAGAGTCGTGTGTGAGCCGCCAAAGGAAGATATGATAAGGAACAAGTCTGTCGTTGTAGAGAAGCAAAATCCTGTGGAGAGTTCAGGAGGATTTGTCACAGCAAAGCAAAAATGGGTAAGCATTTTGAACTTTTTGACAGTTCTCCGCAGAAATTTCTTTCCTCAGGCACTTGACTCCAAGAAAACGGGATCAACATCGTGTCCAGCACCTACAGGGACCAACACCACCGCTAAGACTCTGGGCCGCCGGAATGTTCGAAGTTCTTTTACACCACCTCTTCGCTCCAATGGGGGAGGAACAACCACGCAGAATTCGGATGCTGCCATATCCGAGTCGACCACCAAATGGTACGTTCTCATGTCCATTTGGTTTAGTTTCTCAACGGTGTCATGTTAGCTTGGAACTTCTCTCTGGTCCCGATGGCGAGCTGCCTGACAAATTGCGCAATCTGGAACCTCGCCTGCTTGAGCACATAAGCAACGAAATAATGGAAAGGGATTCAAACGTTCGCTGGGATGACATAGGTAGCGCTTTTTCTCACTCATTAGTTTCTGTTGTAACTTCATTTTTTTGCAAACAGCTGGACTGGATCATGCTAAAAAGAGTGTCACAGAAATGGTGATTTGGCCTCTTTTACGCCCGGACATTTTCCATGGCTGCCGCTCGCCAGGAAAAGGACTCCTCCTTTTTGGCCCCCCTGTAAGTGTATATATCGAGGGCATTGATGAAGCAACTCAAGAATGTGACAGGGAACAGGCAAGACAATGATAGGAAAAGCGATCGCTGGCGAATCAAAAGCTACATTCTTTTCAATATCAGCAAGCTCGCTAACTAGCAAATGGGTAACTTTGATTTTCTTCCTAGCACATGCTAATTTTTCTGTTCAGAGTTGCAGATTGGTGAAGGCGAGAAGCTTGTCCGGGCTTTGTTTGGTGTAGCCAGTTGTCGCACACCAGCGGTGATATTCATCGACGAAGTGGACTCCCTCCTATCTCAGGTATCGTCGACAATCTGAACATCTCGTTCGGTATTTACTTTTTTAAAACCAGAGGAAATCAGAGGGAGAGCATGAATCAAGCCGAAGGATAAAGACGCAGTTTCTCATCGAGATGGAAGGTATTGGCAGTGGTAACGAGCAGCTTCTTCTTATAGGTAAGCCAGGGACTGATCGATGGATTGTAGAGTTCGACAAAAACGTTTCAGGTGCTACAAACAGGCCTCAAGAGCTTGATGAAGCAGCTCGCCGTCGTTTCTCGAAGAGGCTATACATACCACTTCCTTCTGCTGGTAATTCATTCTCGCCTCACGTTATGCTTGACTATGCTTCCCATGCAGAGGCTCGAGGATGGATTGTTCGTAACCTCTTGCAAAAGGATGGTCTCTTTTGTATGTCCAGCAGCGACATGGACGAAATATGCTCAATGACCGAGGGTACATACAGACACCAGCTTTCATAACCGGAATCAAGCTCGTCCTTTTGCTGCTTCCAGGCTATTCCGGTTCTGACATGAACAACCTCGTCAAAGAAGCATCCATGTATCCTCTCCGCGAGGCGCTCAAAGCGGGGAAAGACATTGGCAAGATTAGCACCGAAGAAATGCGAGCTATTGGGCTACAGGTAAGCAAAAGCTTCCACTCTACGTACTCTAAATCTCCTTTGCAGGACTTCAGGGCCGCTCTTCAAGAAGTAAAGCCTTCAGTCTCGAAATGCGAGCTGGGTGCCTACGAGGATTGGAACTCTCAGTTTGGAAGCCTGTGCTTGTGACGAACAAGGAGCGAGCGAGGAGCGGCATCACTAGAAGATTAAAGAGTTATGGTACGTGCTTCAACAAGCGTCCAGCTTATTTCATCGTTATCGTGCGAACGCTCCAGGGAGGAAGGATGGACAGGCCGGGGCTGGTTGAGGCTCGTCACATAAAGTCGTCCTCAATCTCCTGGAGAGACTTGCCTTTGCCGGCAATATCCTTGTTGGAAGTCATTTTCTCCGACACCATCAGGGCTTTGTAGCTCCGGACGTCCGCCTCCCTCTCCTTCTGGACGCGCTCCAGCTCTTCGCGACGTTTCTGCTCGGAAAGACAAACAAGTTCTAGCGGCCTGGGACAAAGAAAAATCGCCAGACCTTGTCGCGCATCTGGTTCTTTCGCTCCGCTCGTTCCTGGGAGTTGTAGACCTCTCTCTCGGCTGAAACGAGGAAGAGGATGATACCATGAAAACTATCTGGCGAAAGAACGAACAACGCTACCTTTCAAGTCTGGAGTTCTTTCGACTTTGGTCTTGTTGAGCCGGTTGACGATTTCATTCACGCGCTTCTCGACCTTGACAGTCCGGACCTGTGAAGGAGCAAAGAGAAGTGAAACTTACAGCAGGAAAGAAACGGCTTACGAGCTTGGGATTGTGGAATCCAACTTGGCCGACGTCCATGGAAGACGACTTTTTAAGATTCGACCAGGGAGTGTAGACGATGTCGAGATTGTTGATCTTGTTCCCTGGAGCAGAAGCAAAGTTGTAAAGAACGATCAAACTTCCAAGCGTGTTGCTTGTTACCTTGGATGGAGTTTGCCTTGACGAGCTGAGCGCAGTCCTCCAGGAGCTCCGCGCTGATATTGTCCATGGTCTGGCCTTTGTGGAGCCTCAAGTAGACATGAGCCGAGGAGAGCTTGTCAACGTGAAACCTGGGAAGATCCAAACCAGGAAAATTCCTTAGGGAAGAGAAGAATTGGCCATACCAGATATCCTCGGGGAAGCCATACTTGATGAGGTCCTCGTTCTCGTGCTTGTCCAGCCCCATGTAGATGGTGAAGTCGCCCACCTCGGGCCTGGCCTTGAAGTAGTAGACCATCCCTCGACGGCGCTCCACTAAAAAACCTAGAAGTAAAACTCCCCAGCAAGAAAAACAATCGCGTTTTGATTGGACTTTGACTATGATCGACAAGAGATTCGGGCGTGACCGCGCACGGGGAAGAACGACAGACCTCTCTGTACTTTGTTGACACGTTCTATACGGCTGAAAATGTCTTTCTCTGAACAAGTCTCTAAGAACGAGTCTTCTGACACCTTGATATATATCTATCCGGGCGCCTCGAGAAGAAGAAGCAAAGGACCCCCAAAAGCGGGAAGGAGGCGCGATCAAAGCAGCAAGCACCACTGATCTTGAAATGGAAATCAATGGTATTGTGTGGAAACGGAAGAATTCTAGAATCGCCATCGCATTGAAACATTGGTTTTTTGCTTAGTTCTTGGTGGGAGAGAGCTCAAGGACACCGAATGGTTTGGCACGCAGGACCCGTATGTGATTTTACAGTATGGATCCCAAAAGTTCACAACAAAAACTTGCAAAGGTATGGCACATTTCTCCTCGTTTTTTTCTAAAGTTTTATCAATCTAGATGGTGGTGAGAATCCTGTGTTCAACGACAACTTCACGCCCTCCCTGATCGAGGGTGTTCGAGAGATGAGTGTGGAGGTTTGGAACGAGAACTCGATGAGATCCGATCAGTGTATTGGCGCAGGAAAGGTGCTCCTCGACAAAGTCTTAGCTTCCGGCTATGATGATCGAAGCTGGCCACTCAAAACAAAGAGGGGAAAGTAGTTATCTAAACTCTTGGATCTTGGAACTTTAGAAAACTAATTGCTGACAAAACATTTCCCGTTGCAGGGACGCTGGGAAAGTGAGGCTGATTTTGCACTGCGACACTACAGTTGGGATTTATCCTCCTCAAGGTGGCAATGCTCCAGCAGCTCAATGCGAGAGTGGAGAGCCAGAAACATCAGAGAAGACCTCTTCAGCATCAGGGATTGGGAGCGCGATCAAGAAATTGGTTGGAGGCCACAGGCAAGGAGAACAAAAGCAAGAGGGAGGACATGAACAAAATGAAGAGCACAAAGCAGAAGAAGTAGAAGGAGCGGAAGAAGGAGGAGGAGAAGAAGAAGAAGACGAAGAAGAGTCTGAGTCGGAGGAGGAGGAGGAAGATGATGAGTGATGATCAGCCATAAAAATCGTAAGTTGGGATTTCCATTTGCTTGCGATTGAGTTTGCTTGAAAGGTTTTATAACGATTAAATATAAATTTAATACTTTTTAATAATCACACCACAGAAATTACCAAAAAGCAAAATATCCTTTCATTTTTAATTAGTATTTTTTATTTATGTATATTAAATTATGTACCATAGTTGCTAAATATTTAAAATATTAATAATAAATAAGTTTTTAAAATGATGAGAAAGAAATTTCCTTAGCTTTTGAAGTATATAATAGAAGCTTATATATATCAAATGCATTCTTTAGAAATATATATGAATCCTGTATAATTATATTATTTGTGTAACTCTTTTTCTTAATACTTTTTATGTTAATAATAGCAACTGAATTAAATTGAAATGTTAAATGTGAAGATTTTGGATAATTATTATTTTGTGGAAAATGTTTAAAATAAAATATGACAATTTGCAATGAAAGAAGAGAAAGCACTAAAACTTTTGGATCTTAATACTTCAGAAAATCAATTGCTAATAAAACATTTAAAGCTCACAATACTCCGTTAGCGTGAAAAACCTTAAGATGGTTTATGATTAACTTATGATTAAGATGGTTTATGATTAATTAAGATGGTTTATTAATTAGTGCAACTGATTAAATAAAACAACTTGGGAAATATATTATTTATCTTTCATTTTTATTTTGTCTGTATAATATAAATCACACTTTGTAGTTAAACAGTATAAAAATGATTTTAAAAATTAATAAATACAAATTAGGTTTTCCTCAAATCAAAGTGTTGCTACACAAATGATTTCATGATTTATTTCAAAAATGTAATTCAGAAAAAGGAAACTAATGTCTAAAAAACTAAAATTACAATATCAATGCTTTAAACCAGGATGGTTATTGTTGAAACAAAAAGCACTCAAAATTACAAACAGCTGTTACAAAGAGCCCTAAACTTGGATATGGGGCGCGTGTGCCAGGGCTTCCTCCAATGCCTCCTCAAGCTCGTCAATTTCGTGCTCATCCTCCTCGGCATCGCGATGATCGTCTACTCCTTGTGGATGCTCAACGAGTGGCACTCCCGCCAGGAGCCATCGCATCCGCCGGCGGCGTCTCCTGCTCCGGAGCAGCTCCAGGATCATCACCACGCGTTTCTGGCGATCGTGGCGGAGAAGGGGAATGGCTATCCTCGGGGCCCGGGTAGGGCTACGTGGATGATCGATCTGGAGCCAGCGATCACGCTGGGGAAGAGTCTCCCGGCTCCCTGGTGAGTCTATCTGTTCTAGATCCCTTTTCTTTCTTGTCTCTTATCTCGCATTTGCAAGGTTCATCTATGCGTTCTTAGGGGTGGGAGCGATTGTTTTGGTGATCACTTGCACCGGCCATGTTGCTGCCGAGACTGCCAGTGGCTGTTGCCTTTGCTTCGTATCCATTGTTCTTTCTTTTGCTACCTCTTCCAGAATTTTTTTTTCTTGCTTCCTTGACTGCTAATCCAGTACACTTTGTTGTTGGTGGTGCTTTTGCTCGCGCAAGCTGTTCTAGCTGGATTTATCATCTTTGATAAGAACTGGGAGAAGGTACTAGCTCGTTTCTCTACTTCTTGGCTTCAAGACTCTCGTTCCTCACAGGCAGTTCCGGAAGATCCAACTGGCGAATTCGACAGGATCGCACACTTTATAAAGCGCAACTTCGCGATTTGCAAGTGGGTGGCTCTGGGAGTAATCATTCTTGAGGTAATCACCGCGAGCTTTTCTTTTCTCTGTCGTTGTAGCTGAGAAACAAGATTGGCAGGCTCTCTCCCTGTTCTTGGCAATCGTCTTGAGGTCCGTGGCCTTGGGAGCCCAGAGAGGCTACGACAGTGACGATGACATGCCGGTGAGAAACACGAGGCAGCCTCTCTTGAACCGTCAGGCGACGCAGTCGAATGCAACTCCATCAGCTCCAGCCGAGAGCCGACCACCACGCAACGATGCCTGGAGCACCAGGATGCGAGAAAAGGTTGCTTCCAAATCTTTCTTTTTGCCTTGGCTGAGTTTTCAATCGCTCGTGTCGCAGTATGGCTTGGACACCGCCGAGTTCACGTACAATCCAGTGGATTCCAAGAGAGTTCCAGCGCAAAACCAGCCCCCTCCCGAGCCGAAGAGAGGATGTGTGATCATGTAAATACGTGTGAGATTCGTAGGATAATCGTGTTTCCACTGGCATATTCGTAACGTAATGCTTTTAGGGCTTAGAGAAAGAATATTCACGGAATTTATAGAGCTTTCAAACTTTACAAGCTCGCGGATGCGTGCTAGCTGATCGCTGGAGGCATGTCCATGAGCGTCACTTCCGGGCTCTTGGAGAATTCATCGTCGCTGCTCAAGCCATCCTCGCTGACAGCATCGTCGGCCCTCTCGCGGAGCCACGGCTCGAGCGCTTCGTCCATGCGGCCGCCAAACACCGGCTTGATGTAGCCCTGGTCCAGCCACCGGAACACGGCGTGTGGGACGGAGCGAGGACCCCAGTCGTCTTCTTCGTGGGAGTACTTGAGCTCGTGGGCTTGCAAACTTGTCATCCTTGAGCTCGACGGGGGCGACGAGAGTCCCAGGAGTTTTAGCATCGGACCTGTGGAGCTCCCGAAGAGCAGGGTGGTGACGACGACGATGAACAAGGTGGTGGTCTCGATAGCGCGGTTCTTCGTCGGTATGTTCACGGCTAGAGCGTACGAGACGGCGCCACGGAGGCCGCACAGCCACATCATCGATTTCATGGGTGTTGTTATCGGCCACCGCCTGGATCACAGCAAAGTTAAGCCATGGAAGACAAGTGATTGAGACGAGAGCTTTTACCGTCCTTTGTTTGCCAGCCATGAGAGTGGAAAGATGTTGATGGCCCTCGAGATTAGACACAGGGGGATCGCTGAGAGTATGAGTCCTGTGTCGAACTTGTGGTCGAGCAGCACAACTTGCATTCCCAAGTATCCAAACACGAAGATCTCCGCCAGGAAAGATAGAGCCTCTAGCGCATACCTCGAGCCGATTTTCGATGCCTGTGACGAGTTGTAGTAGCCGTAGTGAGCGTTGCAGATGCCGCAGAAGAAAAGGGACATGATGCCGGAGAGTGACAGTAGTTCGCCGACGGCGTAGGCTACGTAAGCCGAGATGAGAATGAAGGCCAGCTCGAACTTGGCGTATTCACTCTTGGAGTCTATGAACTTCAGCACCAGTGCACACAACAGCGACACCACAAAGCCCAAAGCCGTCGAGGCAACGCTGATGACACAAAACTGCACTGTATCACAATGAAAGAGAGCACTGGTATCGTTGTACTTGCTAGAAGAAAATTGCGTGCTTACCTATGGCAACACCAATGGTCGAGAAAGTGAACTTTATATCCAGGAAAGACTCCTGTAAGCCAGTGCTCGTTAAGTAACAATGATAAAAAGAAAAAAGCTTACAAAAGTCCGGAAGAGAACTATCGCGCTAGCATCGTTGACAAGGCTCTCGCCTAGAACAAGGTTGTACAGCAATGTAGGAGCATGAACGTCTGGATTGAGAAGGATGTAAGCACCAATAGCAAACTCATCGTAGTACCTTGGAATATGGACAGCGTTGCGACGGGATCAATCGCGGATATGAGAGCTCCAAACATTAGAGAGTCGAGCAATGGCGCTTCCTTACTCAAGTGCCTGATGACACCGGCCAAGTAGAGGAAGTAAGTAAGGAGGCCATAAGCAAGAGCCGAGACAACCGTTCCAGCCACTGCGAAGAGCATGATCGTCGTGAAGTTGCGAAAAAAATCCTGAGAAGAAATCCAAGCAAAGTTCTTAGCGAGCTGGAGAATGCCAAGGGAGGCATACCTTTCGTTTGAGGGAGTAGCCAGCATTGAAAATAATAATTGGAAGTAGCCAGTAGAAGAAAGCCTGATTATCAAACGTGAGATTTCCGCCATCGAAGAAGAGCTTGGACAATCCTCCGAATAGAATGCCGAGAATCATCGCGGCGGCTGGAAGGCAAACGATTCATGAGCTCTGGGAAGAAATTTCATTTCCACGAACCTGATTCCGTCAAGTAGATGAACTGGTGCTTCTTCGCGAGGTACGCCACGAGCACGGCCACGATCATGAGCAGGCAGCAGAGGAGAATGTCTTCCATCGCCATGGCGAGCGAATTTGCGGGGACCTCGAGCTGGACGCATTCCCTGTTCCAATATGCCCTAAATTTTCTAAAAAGATTTTAGGGCTCCTCCCCTCTTCTTCCTCTCATGTTTGCAGCCAAGGCGCTCAAGAGGTCCGGCGACGTGCTGCGCCTCCATCTTCGCGCCGCGGCGCATCGATCGTTCTCGTCGGCAGCCGCGCCTTGTTCCGATAGTAAGGTTTACAGCGATGCGAGCCGCGCATCGCGAGAGCTTTGGCTGAAATATTTCTTTGTTGCGCCTTGGCAGCAGCAGCCGCCGCCGCCGGATCAAATGCAAGCTCGAGAACTCTTCTCGGTGTTCTACGCGAGGCACAACAACAAGGTAAAGAAGAAGAAGAAATAATTCTCGAGAGAAAAAGCTTGTAAGAATTTCTTCCTCTGGTAGGAAGATTTCCATTCGCCTGTGGACTTCTCCATCCACTCCTACCGCCGAGAGAGGGCCGCCTTCTTCTCAACCATGACTCCAAGGGAGCGTCAAAAGATCATGCTACAGGTACTTCAGTTCATCTCTCAAGTTTCTTTTCCAATCACAATTTCCAGAGCTTCGATCGTCCAAAGTTTGGGTTGCATCTCCCAACGAGGAGCTCGACAAGACAAGCTTCATGATCTCGTCATGGATAAGGAAGTTGTGGGTGCCGACGCTGGCCGTGTTGACAGTCATCCTGGGTTGGCAGTACCCGGTGAGCTTGGCCGTCAATCTGCTTCTCTTGGTCTGGAGCACAAAGCCAACTCCAGCGTCGATTCACATATGGCTTGAAGAGGTAGCTTCTTCCTTTTCTTCTCTTTCTCTTTTGACGTTTGATCGTTTGTTCTAGAGGCGAATGGAGGCAGCGATCCAGAAGCAAGGCCTAGACCGCTTCAAACACCAGGTAGAAAACTTGAAAGGAATACCTGAGCCTGACACTTGTGTGTGCTTGGCATTGGCAGCTCAACTTCTCGCTAGTCAAGCACATCCAGGTGGAAGACCATCTCCTCTTCTGCTTGGCCCGAGTGAGCGGCCTCACGGAGTCGATCGTGCTGCTTGGCTTTCTCGGCAACTGGTGGGTCTTGCACTCGTCCACGGTTTTCTTGAAATACTGAGCTCTGTACATACGCAAAGAGTCACTTGTTCTGGAAGCACGGTCTCGTAAGAGTTATCTCTGCTGCTGGAATGTTAGAACATCTGTGAACGGCTTACTCTCGCGTTTCCATTCTGGCAGTAACATTCTCCTTGGACACTCTCCCAGTGCTTTTAAGCATCGCAACAACAGCCTCGTGCACAGCCACATCGATCTCTACTCCACTCTCTGACGCTTCCCGGAGCAGCGTGACAGCGTCGTCGGCTCTCTCAGCCTTGCAAATCCCATCTAGCAGAGCCCCGTAAGTCGCCGCGTCTGGCCGGCACTCCCGCTGTGGCATCTCCCTGAACAGCTCCAGAGCTCTTTCAACGCGGCCAACCCGGCAGAGCCCGGAGATGAGAGCGTTGTAAGTGACCGTCTGTGGCGATACGTCTCCCCGGATCATGTCCGAGAACACCTCGTCGGCTTCCAGACCCCGGCCAGCCTTGCCAAGGCCATCGATGATCACCCAGTACGTAAGAAAGCTCGGCCTTGTGGATCCCGATAGCACCTGCTGGTAGAGCTCCATCGCTTCCCCGGCTCTCCCCTTCCTCAAAAGCCCATACAAGAGGAGCGTATACATGGTCGCCGTCGGCTTTGCTCGTTTGCCATCCTCGAGCTTCCCTCGATCTTCCACAAGCCTCGGTTTGGAATGCGATTCCACCAAGCTCCGGAACGTTCGAACATCCGGCATTCTTCCCTTGGCCACCATCTTCTCCATGAACTTCCAAGCGTCATCCAGCCGCTGTGCGCTGCACAGCCCGTCCACGATCACGCTGTACGTGACAAAATCGGGCTCGCACTTCTCGTTTCCAGTCATCTCCTCGAAACCTTTGAGAGCCTCGTCCAGACGACCCGCCTCACAGAACTTCCGAAGCACGTACGTGTGCGGCACCGCGTCGGGCTTGAAATGCTTCTCCTTCATCATCCTCAGGAGCTTCCACGCATCGCTCACCCGGCCACACCGGCACAGGATCTCCAGAGCAACACCCAGGCACGGCATGTCGGGTATCTTGTCCTTGTCCACCATCTCCTGCGCGACTTTGGTGGCGTGATCCAAGCGCCCTTGCCTGCTGAGCTCGTAGATCATGGTGCTATACGTCGACGAATCCGGCTGGCAAGTCTCTTGCATCATCTGGTAGTAAGAAAACGCATCGTCCAGCTTCCCAGATCGCAGGAGCCCGTTGAGCAGCACGCTGTAGATCGCCGTCTTGGCCTCGATGCCACCCCGTCCTTGCATCTCGTTGAAGACCTCGCATGCCTCGTCGATCCTCCCGGCGTCGCAGAGCCCCCGGACGAGCACCGTGTACGTGAAAGCATTGGGCTTGAACATCCGGCTGAAGCGCTGCTTGAAGATGCCATACGCGTCCATGGATCGGCCACACCGGACGAGCGTCTCCAGCAGCTGGTTGGCGGAGGTGATGTCGTGCTTGAATCCATCCTGCCTCGCGGCCCAGACGAAGAAGCTCACGGCCTGATCGGGCAGCACGAGATGGCTCAGCACCAGGCACGCAATGCGTGTCGAGTCCCGGAGGTGTGAGACCAAGCGCTTGTCCAATCGCCCAGCCTTGACAGCGGCCACGATGGCCTCGGCATCCACCATCTCCGGCCGGATGGGATCCTTGGCCCAGTTGTATGCCGCCTTCTTCCCGCGAGCTTGGATCGCTCGATCCAGCCCTGCCACTGCGGTCTCCACGAGCTGGCTGCCGCAAAACGCGGCCAAGCAGCGAGCGCTGGAAAACCTGTATGCCTCCTCCCATCTCCATTTCCTGCCGAGAAAGAATGCCGCTACCGGCATTCTCCTCTTATTTCCTCCTTGCTACCTAGCTGAAGAACCCTAAAATCCCTGAAAGAGATCTACCACGATGCCTTGTAGAGCCCCATGAGCTCGTGGCGCCCGGCCATCTCCCGCAAGCAGATTCGCGACATTCTAAACTTGCGGTAGACCGATCGAGACCTGCCCGTGATGATGCACCGGTTCCTCACCCGCGTGATGGAGCTGTTCTTGGGCAGCGCGTTGAGCTTGCTCTCGAAATATCGGCGGACCTCGAGCGGGAGATTGCGGTCGTGCGTCATCGCCTTGTACTGCATGCGCTCGTTCTCGTGCTCCGCGACGCACAGCCGGCGCTTGAAATCCCGGATCGCCTTGTTGTTCACCATGCGGCCGATGCGCTTGAGATAGACGGGGCTCCGCTGCGACAGAAAGATCGGTGGAAATTTCGCCGCATCCTTGGCAGATTCGGCAGCAGGGGCTGGAGAATCGCTAGCTGGAGAATCACTGGCTGGAGAAGAAGCTCCTGGAGCGGGCGCTTCTCCTTCTGCGGAGCGGATGCTCGAGCTTGTGAATGGCCGCGCCGACAAGAAGGATGATCTAAGACTGCCGCCGAGCAAGGACTGGTTCCATCGCGCGCTTCTCAGGAGGAATGCCATTGTCTCTTCCCTGTCAAGAACCCTAAATCAAAAGCAAATCGCTAGCGTCCATTCATGAATGTGTCCGTTTCATCGGACGGTACAGCTTCGGGTGTGGTGCTCTCTTCGGGGATCACCGAAAAGAGCAAGAAAAATGCGCCTGTGTAGATACTTACGTGCCAGAGACTGAAACCAACAACACCATCAACAGATCTACAAAGAAAAGCTAGCTTTTTTCTTCTTACCTGTGCCAAATCCAATAGTTCCTCGCTGTTTCCTGTTTCCAGCATACTCCCGCGAATGCTACGATCATAACTCCGATTCCAACATACGCCCAGACAAACCTTTGCCGGAGCTTCTTCACGAACGCGCTCCTTTGGAGCTCCAAGCTATACAACCTGGAAAAACCATGGAAGGTTTCACACGCGCTTTAGTTTCTTGATCACGGGAGTTTCTCCTTGCTCACCTTATCAACTGCAACCGAAAGGGCTCGCATCGACGCAGCCTGTTTTGCCCCCACAGCTCCCACAACAGCCCGAGCAGAAGCACCGCCGCGCCAATTCCAATCACAAGGAGTGCGCTCCTGACACTGAACACCAAAGCCAGTTAGTTCTTAAAGTTGCTCAAACTTTGCGTCCTCTGGCACACCTTGTCCGATCTTTGTTCTTGGCAATGATGGCGGTGATGACCGCCGCAGCTACATGAAGCGTTGGTTTGGTAAGGCCAAGAACTTCCGCCAGATACAAGCACGTAAAGATCACGGCCAGGAAAGAGAGCCAGAAATCCAGGAACTGCAAGGCGAAAAGTTAGGAACTGTGAGCACATTTTTAAGCTCTTGGCTTGCCTGCAATGTGTCGTAGGACAGAGCACACCAGCCACCAGCGTCACAAGAGTGATAGATTGCACTAGAGATGCCGCTGGCCGTGTATATGAGCCACTCGGACATAGCCTATGTGACGAGCTTTTCAGCACAAAATAAATTCCTAAAGCAGATGTATCGAGCACCTTTTGACGAAGAGCCCAGAAGCTTGGAAAAGCAGCTGCTGCATTCGAGCCGACTAGAGCAGCAATCTGCAAGGATCTCGCTGAAACACACCGTTAAGATCGAAATTTATGTTGCCAAGCAAATGTAGACAAAATAGATGACAATTACCTGAAAGACTCAAGAGTTTCTCCGAGCAATCAATCCCACCGTGTGTCCGGTCGCAGTTGCAGAAGCTGTAGCCCAACATCCGGTTAATGCATCACAAGAAGAAGGATTCTACCTGTAAAAACTCAAGCGACTGGCTTCGTATCTTGTGGTGCAAGATCCATGGTGCGAGCAAGAATCCACGCAGCCATGTAGATGCACCCGGAACTTGAGAGCCGCTTCAACAGCTAGAGAATGTCTCACACCGATAGACCACAATCCTTCCGCGGGGTACGTGACGTCGAAGGAGAGAGATTTGTTGTTCTTGGATGTGTGGCGAAAGTCCCAGCTTTCAAGCGTGGGATATCCTTTAAACCGAGCATAGGCCTCTATCAAACTTGCCTCGGGAAAGTGAACCTCGAAAGACAAAACTGATCCAGCTGCACCATTTGGAACTTCCAGATTCAGATATAACCACCTCAACGTAGTATTTACAGCCTGCGCGTTTAATAACTTCCAAGAAAACCAGCCAGACTTGGTGCTAGTCTTCGTCGCTGGTAAAAAGCTTGAATCGAAAGGTGACTCGCTCGCCCTTGAAACAACTCTCTGTGAAGAAGAACTAAGATTAGTTTTCGACCATAAGAAACAAAGCTACCTCAAGCGGGATGGATGGCGAATTGCATCCAGCTCCACCGTATCCGGCCACACAATCCTGGATTCTCCAGAGTAGAGAAAAACACGAGTTTGAACCGCCTGTAGAATTGTCACCCGTCACACCTATGTACCACGCACCTTTCATAGGCGCCTCGATAACTAACTGAGTCTGATTGCCTGTAGAAACGTCACTAAGTTGAGGAAGAGCTTCATGTCTGGCAGCAAGCTTCATATCGGACACGGCAGCGTCAGTGTCGACCCTGATCTCCAAAGATGACACCAAGTCCGGAATTTGAAGAAGGAAAAATGTCCACTCACCCCGAGCAACACAGTTCCCCAACAGAGTTCTCCACGAAGAAGTGTTACCAGAAGCTTGCGATGTTCCATTGGCAATCCTCTCCACACCCGATACAGAAAACTCGCTGGAAGAGGAAGACGAGAGAACATTCACGCTCCGGTTACAGACCTCTCCTGCAAAATTGTCTTTGCAGACCGAAACTGCAACTTGCGCTTCAAAGTTATAAGTTGGTCCCCGTGAAATCTGTGAACAACGCAAGCAAGATATTGTAAACAAAAGAGAAAGACAAGCATTTATATGCTGACGCTTTTCTTACCATTGTAGACTGAGTCCGATGGGGACTTGGATCACTAAATGTTCCAATATATAATACTCCAGAAACTATCTGGAAACGTCAAAGAAACATTGTCAATGGAAGCGTAGACAGAGCGTAGAACATTACCTGTTCGTTCGTCATGTTGATGTGAACGGACTCTTGGAATAAAGCGCATTTCCCTGTCGTGGAAACATTGCGTCTCTCCCCGGCCATCTTAATCGCTACCTCGAGGCTTTCCACTGTACCAACGATAAAAAGAGAAATCTACCAAAAGCTCGAATTGATCGCTTCCTTACCAGGCCCCGATGGCAGTGGAAGGCCGCCGAATTGGAAACAAACAAGAGGTCCACTCCCCTTTTCTTGCAAAGAGACAAGGAAAAGTGGAAACTTGGCACGAAGTTCTCGGAAAAAATGCAATTTTTTCTACCTGGGACGTCCATCTCTTCTTGGTGAGGATGATAGAGAGTACGGAGAAAGACACAGGAATCTCGGCTGCAGGAGAGAGAGAGAAAAAGATGGAGAGAAAGCATTGCAAATGATCTTCGTACCTCGAAAGTAGTCCCAGCCCGAGGGCCCGATGGTCCTATCGGGATAAAAGGCCGACAATGCGATGCGCGAACTGGAATTCGAATTCGAACTGGAGCTCGCAAGAACCCTAAGAACTCCCACTCGATCAGAACTTCCAGGAGCGCCAGCGCTGATCGCCTCCGCCGCGATTCCATGCATCCCCAGAATGTAGCCGCCGGCTAGCAGCATCAACAATCGCAGCGCCATGGCCTGGCGCCTCCTCTTTCTTGCCCAGTTGCCCTCTTCTTCCCACTCTCTTCTTTCTCCCGAGCGCACAAACGAGGAGGAAGCTCCCTTGCTCCGCCACGTGGCGCACATCCGACGGTCCTCGGTCTACATTGGCGGCTCCATCCAATTTTGTCTAAGAGCGAGCCAATTTGGTACTGCTTAAGCTGTCTGTGAGAGAGAGCTTCCCTTCCTCCCATGGATCGTTTCATTAGGGTTCTAGCATTCTCCCTGGCGGCATTCGCGATCGCCGGCTACTGCCGCGATCTTCCAGTCTCGAGCACGATCGCCAGCTTTCTCAGCACCAATGGCCTCCCTGCGGGATTGTTCCCGACGGCAGGGATCGAGGTGAGCAAAAGCGAAAATTTTCCAGAATTTCCCTCTCGCTCAATCGCCGGCTTTGCTGTAGAAATTCGAGGTGCGCACGAATGGCACTTTCCTGGTGGAGCTGCGCGATGTGTGCCAGTCCAAGGAGCTGGACGAGCAGGGCCTGTTCTTCGATTCTCGAATCAGCGGGAGCTTTGGCCACGGCAAGATGTACGACATGTACGGGGTGTGGATTAGGAAGAGCTTCCACTGGCTGCCAGTCTCGAGCGTGGAGCTCGCCGATGGCACTCACGTAAGCTTCCAGGTCGGGATGTTCGAGCACAAGCTCCCGATCACCAGGTTCCAGGACGAGATCGTCTGTGACAAGCGCACCACCGGGAATTTCAAGCAAGAAAGCAACGACACTAGCTCCTTCGAGGTAAGCAAGAGCTAGAAAGATCACAAGAGCCAGAAAAATCGATCTTTGAGTCGCGAGTGTCTAACTTCCGCCTTGCAGGACTACGTCTATGGTGTCTTCCGGCGAGCCTTTGGTGGGATCTGACGACCTTGGTGGTAGAAGCTAGCGACGAGATACAGATGTTTGCTAGAATCACATAACTTGCTCCGTGTTTTGGATCTAGATTCACCAGCTGCTCGGCAACTCGAGCGGCTCTTTCTCTCTCGCCCTGGCCCCGGCAAGCGTCGAGCAGGCACATAAGCTCCACCGCGTCAGGGACGAACGGCATGGCCTCGACAACATCCTCGGCATCTCGCAGGTATCCGGCGCTGGCGAGCAAGTGCACGACGCAGCAGTAGTGCTGCTTGACGGGCTCGAGGCCAAAGTCCCCGCTCATTGAGACGAAGCAGCTCAAGCCAGCGTCGACTTTGGCTTGGTGGGAGTAAGCTATGAGAACCGGGACGAAGCAGATCTTGGTTGGCAGTGCGACCATCTTCATCCGATGGAACATCGCTACAACTTTGCAGCTGGAATCGCCGCCGTTGCAGCAGTGTGAGCTGATGATCCCGCTCCACGATGAAGCTCCGTGCTCCGGCATTTGCGAGAAGATCCTCTCCGCGCCTTCCAAGTCGCCGTTTTGCGAGTGTGCTGCCATGATGCAATTCCATGAAACTGTATCGTGGAAGGCCATTCTGTGAAACAGGATCTTAGATTCTTCGAGGTGTCCATTTGAGGCATATGCCCATACGAGGGTGGTAGCGGAGAAGAGATCCTTGTGAGGCAACGAATCAAACACCCTCTTTGTCTCGTCCAGATGCCCAAACTGGGCATAGGCCGCCAACAGCGAGTTAAACGAGCAGTCATCCCACTCGGGCATTTCATCAAACAAACACTTAGCTTCCTCAAAATGCCCATTTTGTGCATAGCCCACCAACATCGTGTTCCAAGTCACGAGATTCTTTTCCACCATATTGTCCACCATTGCAATTGCCCGACTAAGACACCCATTGTCAAAAAACGCGGCTATGACTGCGTTTGTTGACGCTAAATCCTTGTGTGGCATGCTCTGGAAGACGTCAAACGCTTGTTTGATATGCCCGTTTCGGGCATACGAAGAAAGCATACACGTCCACGAAATTAAATCTCGACTTGGCATCCTATCAAACGTATCCTTCGCAAAATCTACAAAACCGTACTCCCCGTACATGGAGATCATCTGCGTCCACGACACCACATTGGGCCACGGCATGGATTCAAACAAAGATTTGGCCTGGAAGACATGCCCAATCTGGGCATAGCCGCCCAGCATGACATTCCACGTCAGCGTGTCCCAAGCCGGCATGTCGTGGAACAACCGACCAGCCCTGTCAATGTCGCCGGCGGAGACACACCCGGCCAGCATGGCATTCCACGTTGCCATGCTGGTTTCTGGCATCTCCCTGTGGATATACCTTGCGTTGCTTAGATGCCCTTTCGTGGCATATGCTGTGAGGATCGCCGTCCAGCTTACTGTGTTCCATTGTGGCATAGCATCAAACGCACGCTTTGCGCTTGTGACGAGCCCTGTTTTGCAATACCCACCCAGCATAGTGTTGTAAGATATCAAGTTTCTATGGGGCATGGCAGCGAAGATCTTCTCGGCCTCTTTGATCTCTCCATTCCCGGCGTACGCAGCTAGCATTGCATTCCAGGCGACGAGATCCCACTCGGGCATTCCATCGAATGTGTGCTTGGATCCGCGAGAATCTCCATCGGCAGCAAATGCGGCGATCATCGACGTCCAGGTCTCAAGATCCCGCAGTGGAGCTGCGTGAAACAACGAAACAAATCTTTGTAGATCCTCACCGTGGGTGTATGCCGCGAACAGAGCATTCCAGGATGCCAGATCTCTCTCCGGCATCTCGTGGAAGATCTCCTCGGCCTTCGCGGCATGCCCCGCCCGGGCAAATGCCGCGATCATCGCGTTCCAGGCGATGGAATCCCTCTCGGGCATTTGCAAGAAGAGCTCCTCCGCATCCTCGATTCGCCCCCTCTCGGCAAGCGCGCACACCATGGCTGTCCACGACACAAGATTCTTGCAGGGCATCGACACAAACACGGCTTGCGCGCCATCGAGATCCCCGTGCCGAGCGTAGGCGCGCATCATCAGCACCCACGAGAAGGCATCCTTGCAGGGCATGGCGTCGAAGATCGCTCGCGCCTCGCGCACGCTCCCGCAGCGCCCATACATCTCGATGATCTTGTTGGGCACGAAGGTGTCAGTGGCGGCGGCCGTGGCGAGCTCCTGGAATGCGGCGTGGAGCTCCCTGGCCCTGGAGAGATCGTTGCAGCTCTGGATCAAGCCCACGCACTGAGCTCGATCGAGCATAGGATAGCAAGCGTGCTCTGATCATGACAAAGAAAACCACGTCTTCCGAGGCATAGAAAGAAAGAAATCCCTTGATCCAATTCAATTCAAGGAGAATATAATTGTTTAAAGGAGAATGGGAGAACACACTCTTGTCATACCCCCTTCACGGGAGGGGTCTTCGATGGAGGCCTATACCCCTCGGCATTTCGGATAGCCACGGTAAATCGGCTCTCCACCTTCCGGATGACAATTGAGAGTACAATCAAAATCACAACTTGAAGAGCGTATTGCCAAACCCGTTGCATTGTGTTCGTGCGTGATCTTTTCTCATGTGCATGATCAAAACATATATACCAAACAGCAGCTTGACTAAAAGTCTCGTGTCCTACAAAGTCGTGCTTCACTTTTGACTGTTCGAACGAGGTCAAACTGGAGTTTGTTTAGCAGCTTCCAGGGCTCCCTTGTGACAATTTTCACGTTTTAAAGGAGCCAATGCTTACAATGCGATCTTACGGCAAAGAACGATTCAAAGAGAATAACATGTTTTGGAGATAAAAAGAACAAGAACCAACACATAAAGCATTATTGTCATGGGCTCATCTTGGCAGGGGTTTGTAGATTTCGAATTAGACTCCTGGCTCTCGACCTTCTGAATGACAAATGAAAATGCTATAATCACGACAAGAGCGTATTGCTTCCAATGTTTGCTTGCATTATTCTTTCTTGTATGGTCAAAACATGTATACAAGAGTAGAACAGCTTGCCTGGAAGTCTCTTGTTCTACAAATTCGTGCTTCACTTTGACTTTTCTTCTTTCAGTCATGAGGTCAAACTGGAGTACATTCAGTGGCTTCCACCTTGTCACAGATTTCCACATATTTAAAGGAGCCCATGCTCACATTCAGACTAGAAATGGCTCCAATGGATGTTTTCTGTCTTGGAATATCGCAGGGCTCCTGCTTGTGTGGGGCTGTGATGGATTCGATTTAGATCTCATTGAATATCCCAGGGTATAGCTATATGCCATTATCATATGGGTAAAAAAAAATTTCCAAAAGGGTAATTAATAAAGGGTAATTAATGATTCCTTTAAGGGCTTTTCCTATGGGGTGTTTGTTGTAGGAGAGAATGATTGGCATTCCCCCATCTGCAGGCAAGTTGAGAGTTTGAGTTGTGAGGTAGTAGGGTAGTATAGCCACAGCTAAGGAGCAACTCAACTAGCCCAACATAGTTTTGCTATAATTTTGTGAAATAGAGCTAGGTGCAATGAAAGGAGTGCTGAGACAAGCAAGGCATAAGAAGTGAGCATTAGGAGAGTGCAAGCAAGTTAGTGAGTGTATATTTTTAGTATTGATGAATTAATCTTCAATTTTTTCTTTTAAGTTAAGCTATGTCAGACTACCTTGGAGTTTAAAGTGTGGAGCTCACTGCAATGTGCTAATGATTCAACCAATTGAGTGAGCTTACTCATGAGGCTCACAAGTGGTGTAAACCTCTTCAAATGTAATAATAAACATGGTTCTTGTTCAAGATCTTGTGCGTGTTGATAAACTTTATGAAACTAAATTGCAAAAGGATCCATTCTTTAAAGCATGACAATAACAGCAATGCAAAAATGCTAAAGAAAAAAATCCTCCCACAATACATTCAAGTACTTGTGCTCCAATGTAACTTTGATTAGCTCTTGAAAGTGCATAGGAAACAACCAACTAACTTCAAGGTATCCCAAATGAAGAAAGTGTTTGCAAAGGTGGTGAAGGACAAAATAATAGTATATAAAGTCAAGTCGTCAACACCACTTTAGAATGAATGAAAAATGAAAAGGATAATAAAATAACAAAACATGATAGAGATGTTAGGACTTTGGGTGGAGCTTACTTTTCTTCTCAAGAATTTTGAAATTCTCTAATTTATAATTAGTTTATTTGCAATTTGTAGATATATCACCCCCTTGACAACAAAACACATATTGCATTTACATGTGCTAAAGAAAAATATGCCACCTGAAGTATCTCTCTACTACATTCTACTAACATATTTATATAGTAATTTAAATAAAATATAAATTATATTAATTTAACAAAATTTGTTTGGAAAAATGATTCTATTTACTCCATGATAAATTTACTAGTTGGATTCTACAAAAAGATCTTGTGGCATCTTCAAGTTGTCCCATGTCATGCCCATGCAAAACGGAATAGCTACTAAATGCAAGGGATTCAAGAAAGCATAATCAACAAAAAGAGAATGAGGCATCACTCCCTTTCTCTCGCTACTAATAACCTATAATTTTCATAAAAAAATTAAAATTTTAAAGAAATTTCAATTAAAAATAATACTTAATAGAAGAATTTAAAATCATATGATAATACCCAATAGAAAATATTCCAATCCCACTAATAGAGATCTTCATGTTGTTCATTTAAATTAATATTTTATTTATAATTTATAAACCATATTTATAATTCATAAACTTTCCTAAAAACTTTCTAATATTCCATTAAAAAACTCAATCATTGGAAAAATATATTATTTAAAAACCTTTTCTTTCTTGCAGATAAGATAAATTCTTTGAAAAGGATGGGAAAACAAATCTTTTATAAGTGTATCCTATAGGAAAAATTAATTTTCTAAAAGGAAGTTCATTCTTTTTAATTTTTTTATGGGAATTTAACTTATAAAAAACTTATTTCCAACCTTTTGGAAATAATTTTTTCCCAAAGGGAAACATACTTTAAAGGGATTACATATTGTTAAATTTACCCATATCAAAGGTTTGATATAGACAATTGTTATCCATTATTAAACAATGTAGATTATATATCTAAAGTTCAATGTGTGCAAGATCCATCCAATGGAAACATAAAAAACTCATACAAATTCATACAAAAATTGGACCACATAAACCATTGTACCAGATAAAAGGCTACATGGGTGCTGGGTTGCAAATTGATTGCCACATCTATTACCAAAACACAGCTTACACAGTTTTTAACGAAATGCCACACAATGATATCATTTCAAATTGGTTACTTGCTGTGCATGTCCAGGATTTAGATTTTTTAAGCAGTTTCGAGAATCTTGGAAGCTTTTCTGTTTGATGCTGGAGTTCCATCAATGGGCATATTCTTGAAGCTGAGAGCATCTGTTTGGGCGTTCATAAGTGTCCATAACATTCAATGCTAGCACAACATTGTTTCCTTGCCCTTGGCATAATCTTTCACGCAATGACCTTTTCCCTTGTAACTCATTACTTTCGAGTTTGGCAACAGCCAGACACGAGGGACCTGGTATCTTACAATGCGAGCTATTGGGATATTCTCTACAATGCCAGAAAATGACCACTATCTCGTACGCCGCGACCAGAGCATTCTTTCTCCGGCATCTTGTGGAAAATCTCCTCCGCCTTTGTGGCATCATCATGCGAACACCGTATTCCAGGCGATGGAGTCCCTCTCGGGCGAGCTCCTCCGCTTTCCACGACACAAGGCACACACGGCTTGCGCGCTGTCGAGATTCCCATGAGGAGCGTAGGCGCGCACCATCAGCACCCGCGAACTTTGGGGGCGGCCGTGGCGAGCTCCTGGAATGCGTCGTGGAGCTCCTGACCCTGGAGAGATCGTTGCAGCTCTGGATCAAGCCCACGCATTGACCTCACGTGCTCTAATCATGACAAAGAATTATATACTATGTCCTTGGGATTTGTAGAATCCTTGATAGAAGTATGTGTTGTCAGGAGAAAAAAACATAGAATTTGAAAGAAATCAGAAGAAGAAAGGAAGAACAAAATTGTCATTCTTGTCATGGCATCATCTCGGGAGGGGACCTCCTTGGGGGCCTAAAATCCTGATCAGATCGGCCAGGCGGTCCGACTCTCTGGCTCTCGGTCGTCTGGATGCCAATTGATAATACAATGAAAATCACAACAAGAGCATATCGCCAAACCCATTGCATCGTCTTCCTGCATTACTTTTTCTTGTATGATCAAAATATATATACAGAAGAGGCACTGAAAGTCTCGCGATCTACAAAGTTGTGTTTCACTCTGACTTTAATACTTTTAGTCAAAATTTTCGTCTTGATCGAATGAGGTCAAACTGGAGTTCATCCAGCAGCTTCCAGGGCTCCCATTCTCAGCGATGACAAGAAGAAATCCTCTTCTTCCGCGAGGAAATTTCCCTGGGATGGAGGTACTGCTGATAATCTTGCAAAACATGCGGATGGGCGACTGTCCCTGGCATGGATGCGGCAATGGATGAAACTGCAATGCTGCTGTGGAATCTAGTTTCCTGGACTTCAATGCTTGTTTGTCATGCACGAAACAAGAAGTTGGTAGAAGCTTGGAATCTTTTCCACTTAATGGATGCCTGAGAGGGACCTCATTTGCTGGAGCTCCATGTTTTCTGCTTATACCATCCATGGGCAAATACTTGAAGCCGAGAGCATCTGTTTCCAGATGCCCCTCACGAACTTGGTCTTGCGGACAGCTCTTCTTAGCATAAAACTAACCTGGCTGGACTTCGATGCTCTTGGCATATTCCCAACACGGGCATATTGACTTGGCCATTGGAATCTTTCACGTGATGCCACAATCCAACCTCTTCTCTTGTAACTCGTTCCTGTTGGCAGTTTAGTCTAGTGGTGACGTGGTGATGGCGAAACAAGTATTCGACAACATGCCCAAGTGGGACTTGGTATCTTACAATGCCCTTATTGCAGCATATGCTCAAAACGGGCATCTGATATTTCCTATTGGGATATTCTCTACCATGCCGTCACTTCTTTTACTTGTGTGCTAGCAGCATACGCGGATGCTGGGGAATCTAGAAGAAGCTGAGCGGATCTTTACTAGAATACCGGTGGGATGTTGTGGCGTGTGTTGCTATGTTGTCCGCATATGCCAGTTCGTGGCATCTGGAAGATACTAACGCTTGTTTGAGTCGATGTTGCGAAGGAATCTGGTTTCACAATTATCACAGCATATGCCCAGTATGGACATATTGAAGAATCTAAGAGCATGTTTGAAAATATGCCGGAGAGGAATCTGGTGGCATGGAATGCCATGCTTGTAGCATATGCCCAGCTAGGATACGCTGACATGTCACGCCACCTTTTCCAGCAGATCCCTCAACGGGATGTCATATCTTGGAACTCCCTTCTCTTTGCGCATGCCAGCATAGGGAACGTTCCATGCACTGAAAAGATGTTTGCTCGCCTTCCAGAAGAGAACCTCACGTCTTGGAATGCCTGGATATCGGCGCTGTGCCACAACGGCTACATGGCGAAGGCCTTCGATGCGCTAGCA